CGATGCATGCCTTTTGAAGTTCCTAGACATATCAACTGCTTTGAAAGAAATAGTTATTGGGCGAATTCAGTACTTACTTCTCACACCTTGCGGTCTTTCCAACCCCAACTTCTACCTTCCAAACTACGCCTTTTCATTTTTCATGGAGAAAATCCCCATTTTTATCATTGTCCCTAGAATCCACAGTTCTTATGTATTAACAAAGTGAACATTTTCTCCCTATATTGTTCTTATAGTTCTCGATCTTCAAACTTTCAATGTGTACTTCCTTTGGTGAGGGTTCTACTCTTTCTTCACTCATTAGTGAAGGTGAACAGAGCCGTGGCTCTATGTATCTAACCTATGAGCTAGCACCAGCTGGGTGAACGGCGGCTTCCCCACCCCTCTCCCCCTTTCTTATGTTTTGACTTTTTCTCATAATTCTAAATAAATAGATAAATAAATAAATAAATATATATATATATATATTACAAGATGTATTGTTAACTATAATGGAATAGGGTGAAGGAATTAAGTCAGAAGTGTGCGCATACTTCTGAACTTGAAGAGTTCATGACTTACAAAAATAAAACTTATAGATATGGACATTTGTTTATATTTATTTTAGATTTGTTTTTGTTTTCAGAGGTCACAAACGGGTAATGCGTGTAAATATGCATACAAGGCTTGGTTCTACGTGATTCAGGGATTCAATATTATTAGTTAGTAAAACTTTGCTTATAACAAACTAAAGTCGGGAGCATTCAAGCAAGTCTGTAAAAAAGTTTTTATCATGCAGCTAAGGCAGCTAAAAATTCATTTTCCCTTCTATCAGTTTTTTAATGCTTTCCTAATACTGCTAACCCAAAACCCTTCAAAAGTACAGAAAGCTAAAACTCTTAACCAAACACAAAAAAACGCAACGATTTTTTTTGGCTGGATCCGCTTCCAAATTGCCGGTTGAAACTACTCCAGTTGAGCAGTCGCTTGCAATTGTTTCTGATTTTTGAAGTTTAAATAGTTTAATTAACTATAAACATTGAGCAATCAAATACAAACAAAGCTAAGTGAGTACGCAAATAACCCTGTAGCAACAACCGAAGCAATGACTTAAAGAAATATTCTTCCTAACTCTAACACGCTTAAATATGGCAAACAAAAACATTAACAACAAGAACCTTAATCTGAGTCGTCGTTGAAATGACGACATTCCGCACTGATTTTCCCATCAAACAGTGGCAAAACGGCGTCGTCATCAGTAACGAGGCTCCACTGATACGGAGCCGAGTCATCCTCGCATGTGCTTTTGAAAAGAAATCTAAAGCGCTTGCAGTAGAGATAAACAGAGCGGGAATACTGTCGGTGGCTCATACCTTTTGTTCTCTGTTCGTGAAACGCCAAAGATTCTGCGGAATTTTGCCAAAGTGATGATTTCCGATGGAATTTTCGCCACCATAGGTGGTTGACCATTCTCTCGAAGGACCAGCGTCAATGGGGGTGGATCAATGCGACAACTAAAGCAGATCTGTTATTTCAATAACCTTATATGCCTGAGCTAAAAGAAAAAACTTACTGTAGAGCGGGAAAAATGTTTTGTGTGGGGTTGGCGTGCATCTGCCTTCTGGGTAGGCTGCGCGTTTCAAGTTGGTAAGAGTGAACATCCAGACCTAAATGCAGTAGTACTTTCGAGTAATCCTAAAGAAAAAATTACACTTGGAATTCAAGCTTTTTCAACTAAAGTACATTTCTGTATGGATACATACTACTATGAACAAGTGTTATAGTTGATTATGAAGATTA